GCCAAGGCGAAGGCAAAAATACTCCAAAACCCACAATAATAACGAAAACAACAACTATAAATTACTCACGTAAAAGGTAGACACACTATATATACAGCTGTGTAGAAACACGGGCGCACAACGAGCGCAAAAACGCAAAACAGGCAGAAAATCGGGGAGCGCTGAAAAGCACTGCGTTCACCCGATTATATTATATTATATTATATTATATTATATTATACTATATTATATTATATTATATTATATTATAACTCACCACACATATCAGATAGATATGTTTCATAACTACCATCAAGATCTATTTCACCCGAACTCCAAGCAAAAACGTCACCTTCTCTTTCACCATTACACTCTGCTGTGAGTTGCCCTATTTCATCGTCACTCAGAATTCCGCTCCACATATTGAAGTATGCCAGCTCTCCTTGTAATGCCTGGCTAGACTGATATCCACCACGTAAGCTGTCTTGTTCCTGGCCAAGTACCAATACACCACCTCCTCTAATTATGTTGCCACTCTGAAGACCTGAACCAGACGCAGCTAAAGCACCATTGTCATATATACCCCATATGCCACCAGTAGATGACCACGTGACACACAAATGATGCCAATCATTGTCATTCACAGCAATACCAGTGTTGCGGCCACCAATCTCTCCTACGTGAACTTTCAAATCACTAGTATCGAATAGGTTGAACTCATTGGAGCCTCCACTGATAGCATAGGATAGTGGTGTCCCCTGGTTGGCTTCTGCTGTTTTTACCCACAAACAAGCTGACACGTCACTCAGTTCAGGGATGGGTGTGGTAATAGCCACATCTGATGATGCATCAACAATTATTTTTTCATTGCCTGTCCATGGAACAGCAACTGAGGTGGAAAACAAACTTTCATTAAAAACATCTACTAATAATGTGCAAACATATCATACTCTGATTTAATGAAGAAACATGTTTCTATTCACTCACTCATTCACCTCTACTTGCAATCAATCATTTCTCACATACTGGGTTGTTTACAGTGATGAGCAACTAGCAGACAACTTAACCATCATATTGCATAATACATTAAAATATTTCTTAAGCAAACAAAGGTAGCAACCTTTATAAAATGATGGAGTTCTAGTACACAGAATGGAATAATGTGTCAGACTCTGCTCATAGCTAAAGTGTAAAGTTGGTGAACCTGAACCACAAATTGACAATGACATTGAACCACTGACATGTGGTACCTCGTTATAAATTACAACCACAATGTTCTAGAATGTGGTAAAGCAAACGTGCCTGTAAATGAAATAATTAAGTTGATATACGATGTGTTTAACCATCACACCATTGAGCCATCATTACAGTTTATATTAAATATTGATATATTCGAATTACAATTATGGTGTAACCAAGAGTGCTATGCTGAAAATGTATAATTATGTAGCACGATGACAGTGACATGACAATAATCACTGCAGAATATTGAATTCATTTTACTGTAGGTGTTGAAATATAATATGAAGTATGAACAACTAGAATAGACAAATAGCTGCAAACAATTCTATGTTAACTTACAGCATACATCAGCTGGAAGAGTTTCATAACTGCCATCTAAATCAATATCACCTGAACTCCAAGCAAACAGGTCACCTTCTGTTTCACCATTACACTCTGCTGCAAGTTGCTCTATCTCAACATCAGTCAGAATTCTGCTCCACATATTGAAGTACGCCAGTTCTCCTTTCAATGCCTGACTGGACTCATATCCGCCACGTAAGCTGTCTTGTTCTTGGCCAAGTACCAGTACACCACCTCCTCTGATTACGCTACCACTCCGAAGACCTGAACCAGATGCAGCCATAGCACCATCATCATAGATACCCCACATACCACCATTAGATGACCACGTGACACACAAATAGTGCCAATCATCATCATTCACATCAATACCACTGTTTCCACCATCACTGTCTCGTACAACGACTCTCAAGTCAGTGGTATCGAATAGGGTGAACTCATTATAGTTTCCACTGATAGCATAGGATATTGGTGTACCCTGGTTGGTTTCTTTTGTTTTTACCCACAGACAAGCAGAAAACTCATTAAGTTCGGGGATGATAGTTCTAATAGCCGCGTCAGACGACGCATCAACAACTATTGTCTCATTGCCTGTCCACTGAACTGAAATTCAATTGGATTTCAATTTTTTTTTTATTACAATGGTATTAAAGTGTGTGATACATATACTGCTAGTGGTCAATCACATGTGTAACTCGAAAAGGTGAATACAATACAATGATTATACAAAGCATTGCATTATCGAATGTCCCTATTATTTTTTTTTTTTGGTATTAAACAGAAATATTTTGTAATGATTTATTTATTGAACTATTGTAGAAGTTAATGTCTGTGAAAGAGAAATACGTGCTACATAATATTGCAATATATTAATATTTTAACTTACAACATATATCAGCTAGAAGCGTTTCATAACTACCATCAAGATCAATATCACCCGAGCTCCAAGCAAACAGATCACCTTCTGTTTCACCATTACACTCTGCTGCAAGTTGCCCTATTTCATCATCACTCAGAATTCTGCTCCACATATTGAAGTACGCCAGTTCTCCTTTCAATGCCTGACTGGACTCATATCCCCCACGTAAGCTGTCTTGTTCCTGGCCAAGTACCAGTACACCACCTCCGCTGATTACATTGTCACTCTGAAGGTCTGAACCGACAGCAACCAAAACACCATTGTCATAGATACGCCACAGTCCGCCACCAGATGACCAGCTGACACACAAATGGTGCCAGTCATTATCATGTACGGAAATACCACTGTTGCCACCACCACTCTGCTTTACATAGACTTCCAAATTACTGGTATCATACAGGACGAACTCACTAAAGCTTTCACTGATAGCATAGGATAGTGGTGTCCCCTTGTTGGCTTC